ACTATGTATACAATAATAATATGTAATATATAGTCGCCGCAGCTCTTTTGTGCCCGATCACACGCCGCGGTGGATGTGCAGGCGGAACGGTGTTTTTCGTGCGTTTAAGTGCATGATACACGTTTTTGTTCTAATTCGTTTGGGATTATTTGCCTACTTCTTATTGATGCGCCCGGAAATTCGGCTGCGGCAAGCGGGGCAACGCTGCGAATATCGCCGCCCGCGAGCCGAATGTTGGTCAACTCGAAGAAAACAAAACAAATATCCCATCACTCGTGTAATGACACCGCGTCCGAGTCATTCGTGTTATTCTATATCTGTTTATACATCGTCCAAAAATCACGACAGACCTATATAATACCACGTTCGGAAATAATAACAGATGACCCCTCCGATCAGCAATCATATCGCGGACGTTCCACTTGACACGAAACAAACTAAAAATAATCAAAAATCCAATGTTCATTGTGCAGCTGGTTTATTGGTGTACATATTTTATAATATTCTATATAAATATTCACCAGTTGGCCCGTGTGCAATACTACTTACAATTTCGAAAATTTATTTGAAGGAGGGATTTTTTACATCCAGTAGTTGTTTTTGGTTGTCATATTAGCAAAAATGTTTTTGTTTAACACATATTCATTATAGACACGCTCGGTTGCACATGGTGTTTGTGAGTTACGTATCCATTAGAGCAGCGTTTCTTAAACTTTTTTATCCGTGGAACCCTTTTTTATGTGCACTTTCACCGTGGAACACCGACTTCTTTTTTAACTTTTTTGTATTGAGCTTTTAGCAATAAGTTATTACAGCTCGACAATTAGAACCACTATTCTTTGTTTAAATACTTTCAATGGGTCATTTTATATACAAGGATTATTTACAATAAAAGTTATAATTATGTGTCAACATTTAAAATTTGGAAAAAAAAACCACAAGTTTCGAGGAATCTTGAAGTGACCTCCGCGGAACCCTCCGCGGGTTCCACGAAACACAGTTTAAGAAACGCTGCATTAGAAATACGTTGGACAATGGTCAATTTTCGTTCCATTTTAAGGATAACGAAATAGGATATTTTGACGGAAAGTGGTGGAGGGATGTCAGAAGCAGAAGCAATAACGGATCGTTTGGTATGAGGATTATTGAATATGGTGGTGCAGTATTAGTTGAAAAAAAACGAATGTTGACATCGGAAATAATACACATGATTTACGAATAAATAGCATGTGCTTGCAGGTGGCGTATTATAGCAGCAATTTATATACGTTGTTAATCGTAGTTTTCTATTAAGTACCTACTTTGAATGCTTTAAGGACAATCACGTCGATGTAGGCGTTTACACCCCAATCGTTTGAATTGTTTTTAACTTCTTTAAAAATTAATTTGAATTGCCCCGTCATTATATACCGCACGTTGAAGATCCATTATTATACTTGTATACTATAGGTAGGTTAGTAGGTACCTGCCCGCGATAATCTCTTCACTGTACCCTCGAATATAATAACAACATAAATACAGGTATTAATAATCATAATTATGCCCACTTTCTGTTTTTAAAAGCAATCATCGACAGTAATAACTAATAAGTATTCAAATTTCAGGTTTTCGGTATTTTCAATGTATTCTTCTTCTTGTTCTTCTTCTTCCAAAAAAAAAAAAAATAAAATAAAATACACGCCTGTCTAAATTATGAATATATTCCATTTTTTTTTTTAAACACGCGATCTTCGAACTTAGGTACCTGATATAGTATCCGCCTCTTTTTTGAAAATAATTATAGTTTTTAACGAAAATAATTGATTATTATTATCGTTATAAAATAATGATCATCTACATATTATAGTGATTATATATTGACTATATGTCTAAAAGAAATAGTGAACTTAAAGGCATAATATGTATAAGATTTTTGACAGAAAACAATTTCATAAACGAACAATATAATATTATAATAAGGTAGGTATAACATAATTTTATTCGATGATTATTTTGGTAAATTGGATATAATGTTACAACTTACAAGTAAGACAACGATATTATTATGGCCATGTAATGCATTTTAGTAAGCTACTTGTTTTTTAACAATTTAAATAATTCATCAAAAATTATAACACCCACTCGCTCGAGGAATGCATAACTTCGAAACTCGGTTCAACTGCACCATATATCCGCATGGGGAAAATGTCTATACGTCAAATCGATTTTTATCGAGAACGTCTAAAATGACAAACCACTGTAAAAGACAGCTGGTGCAGCTCTTGACGAGATCCGATCGATATCCTTGATGTTGTCGGTCGTTTATAGGAAGTTCCATTATGGTTCCGAAAACTTAATGTCAGCACAAAGCAAAACACCTGCGCATTGTTGTCGAACAATACAACGCAGCGGCGGCGGCGGTATGTCAAGGTATATAAAGTACATACCTAAACATATATATATATATATGTGTGTGTGTGCATGAGCAAAATCTCAGGGCGAGGTTTAAAATGTATAACAACTTCCCACGCAGGAAATGCGATCGCACGCCGCCGTAAGACTCTTCAAAGTCAAAAACGCAATGTCAGACCGATTCGGATAAGATGTGTAGAGAAACGCATGCGCACATCGCAGAAGACGAACAGAGACTTATTTAGAATTTTCGCACCCTATTGCTAATTTTTTTGTCTCTCCTTTAAATGTAACTTTTTACTGTGAAAAAACTAATTTAGATTAAAATAATATTATGCTGTGTTATATCATTAAAAAGAAAAAACAAATATAAAAAGAAAGATTAACATTTGTTTACTAAATGTTTAATTGCAATAATAATAAATCAATAGTTATAGTAACACATTTAACTTAGAATGTATAAAAAAATTATCAAACTACATATACAATAAATTCAATGTTCAAAAAAAAAAACGTTTAAAAGTATAATATAGTAATAAAATTGAATTCCTCGGGATTATAAAATAAGTTCGGATAGCAATAATCACAATAAAGGTTAAATCTTAAATATTAATTAATTTTTTTTTAATATAGGTAACTAAATTTTATGATTATTCTTACTAAAAACGAAAATATGCCCTCCGAAAAAGTGCGATCTGGAGCGACCACCCACCTTAAATACGGCTATGCCTTCAAAATTACAAGCACAAAAGTGATATATGTTATATTATACGTGAGGCAAAACACGTAAGACAAAGCGTGTTTTTAATTTAAAAAAAAATGAAAGATAGAAAAAAAATCACTCACCGGTGCACGCACGTCGCACCGTTCGTCGTGGTGTTTATTGTGCAGCCGTAATCGCATACTCGGCCGTCGCACGCATATAATGATAATTTAATCTTAATAATATAATATCATATTATCATAGTAGGTACACGTGAAACCCATGCAGATCGGAATGTATATATATACTATTTAGGCGGGCCCCGACCATAGGATCACCCGCTTTGGTCACGACCTCCGGGGAGGCCTCCAGACGCGGCCGCCGCTCATTCATGTTTTCGTTTATTTTGACTGCTGACGGGCTCGGAGCCGGTCTCGACAAGAACACACTCACATACATCCTACACACCAAACCTAACAAACAATACAAATAGAGGAGGCGACAGACTAGACTGCGTATACACAATGTACTAGTGTATAAGTACTGCATATATATGTATATATGATTATACATAATATACGATATACAGTATACATTACATAACCTAACCTAACCTGGTATTGTCTCCGTCATCGTCTCTGTCGTCTGCCTTGTCTTTCCGATAGTTACATTTACACCGAAACAGCGCCTCCGCGTGTACAAGACGATGGGATCGAAGTTGTACGATGTAGAAAACTAAGTCGTCGATTTCAGTGAGCACAACTGACAGATAATCGGATCACTGGAGCACTCCCATTGTACGGTGTATAGGTAGACTTTGTGGTCGTCGTCCTGCACTGACGTTATCAACATTGTCTGACACAAACATGAGCACCACCGTCATTTTGTATATTATTAAAAATATAAATTCGATTACTTAATCGACGGCTGCGAGTTACCACAATTACATTCGGGGGCAGAATTGGACACTGTAAGCTGCGAGTTAATTTCTGATGAGCTGTTTCAAAAACATTTGCCAAGTATGTATACAAGTGCATAATATATCATAATGTATATTACCATTTATGAACGTTCCCAATATGAAACTGTATGTACTTCCTATGGCCTATAATGGATATAACAAATATCTTAGACGAAAAATTAACCGAGAAATAGACAGACACAAATGATCAATTTCCTATAACCAAAGTGCATATTATAATATTGCACTAAATAATTTTCATTACCTTTGTTAAATTAAGCTGTCAGTATAATATTATGATTATTGTAATTTGTAAAATGCATACACATTCTACAACGGCGAGCTTATTTAATGCCCACCTAATAAACAAAAAAGAAATACTTTAGTATAAATACGTCTCGAACCACTGAATCATATACGATTTAGTACAATATATATATATATATATATGATGGAGTCTAAGCATCAAGTCCGGAGACATTTCGTAAGAAGTGCTTTACTGCACACCAACGAGCATCGCATTGACTATGAAAGCATCGGATTTGTGTTTATATAAAATATTAAAGTTTGTAAATGTTATAATATATTTTATGTACATGAATCGTATCCGATAAAGTCCGTCGGGTTTGTTTTAATAAAATATTATGCCTTTACGGTGGCCGGCCAAAAAAAAGAGATGGATATAATATTGTATAAAGGTACACTATTAAACCATGGGAGACGGTCGTCGTGTCGTGTGCCGTCGCCTATGATGTGTATATAGGACGCAGTGGTGGCGGGGAAAGAAGAAGTCGTCGGCGATTGCTGCTGCCATACCACTCCGTTCCACGCGGAAGCGTTTCTCACAGCGTGACGTCACAGCGCCGCCGCCGTCGGAAGTGGCCACCGCGGTCGCGTGGAAGGGGGCACCGGGGCTCCGGATGGACCGCCGGCCAACGGTGTCTCCGATCGGTTCTTCAATAGTCCGTTGCCAGTGGACTGGCGAAGGCCAAGGTCTGATATTTTCTTTCGTACATTTGCACACCGTATAAAATATATCATTTCCTATATCAATATTTCTGACAAAACCCGACTATAACATTTTATCCGACGGTTTATAAAAATTGTTTAGATTTTTCTTCCGTCATCTTTCATTTGCCGTGCACACATTTTTTGCGCGAGTGCAGTTTTTTGCGAAAAAATTTATAACATTTAATTTAAACCGAAATTTGTTTTATTTAATCGTTTTCGTTGTGCGCCGTTCAGCCGCCAAGCGGTCCAGTCCGCCGCACCAACTACACCGCCTACACGGAAGCACCGTCTTCCGTCGCCTTTTCACGAAGACTTCCACTATTTCAAATGGGTAAGAATTTGTTGTCAGGTCTTTGACCTCTGTCTTAAATAAGGAATTTTTTTTATTGGTTTTACGAATTTGCAAATCTCGACCACACTGCAACATTATCTATACGCGCAATTTTGCGGTTTTTCGATCGATCAAATATATTATTACAGATACGGTCAATATAGACACGTAGCATAGTAATAACAATATTTCTCTATCTCTCTCTTTCTACTCCGAGATCATTCCGTTGTTACATGAAATATTATAATATACATAATATAAAAATGTTTTTCTTTTGCAATAAACTATTTCTTATTTCATCAGCGGCAAATATTATGTTTCAAAAAAAAAATAAAGCAGCCATAGAGCTGAGAACTGGTCTTGATAACGCTAGTCTAATCTATTCACCTCATTACAGTATATTTAATGTGATATTGAACAAAAATATTCTTAACATGGGATTAAGATCTGCAACAGTTTCTTTGATATCCTATAATTTTTCCTCAAGCTCAGGTATTGATAAAATCGGAAAATTAACACTTTTAAGTACGTGTAACTGCAGTAAATAGAACGACTTTCAGCCGATAAAGTATAGTTTGAGCTACCTATTTGAAACGCTATGTATATGGCTCAAACCGCAAGTAAAACATTATATCTAGGTAAAATAAACTTTAGAACTGCACACGTATGTATATGTCCTACTGCAGCAATAAGGTGTAGAAAATATATTTTATACGATGTACGTATACATATTATAGACATAATATAGACCGTATCCGTTGTATAATATATGCACTGCAAACGCATACGCGCATCGTCCAAAATATTCGTATTATTCACGGCCAAACGGCGTCATATGTATATATTCTCGAAAAACCTGCAAGTATACGCTGCTATTCGTGTGTTAATAATTATAATATAGTCCGCGTCAAATTAGGTTTCCGTATTTCGGTCTCTCGCGGAGTGCTGAGCATGTTACGTAGATAAAAAAGCCTACTCGAACCGACCGCTTTGACGAGGACGGCCAGCGTCGCATATACAACAAAATAATACATAGCATACCTCTATATAGAATAATAATAATATAATATTATGCACACACGACACACGGGCGTCGCTGCTGCCGGTGCAGCTGCAGTCTGCGCGCGCGCCGCGGATAACAATCGAACACGTCATAATATACGTGACCCGTCCGTCGGTCCGTCTGCGATTCTCGTCGTATATGGGAGGTATGCGACACAGACGAGCGAAGTAACACTCGGGTTCAAAAACGTGTGGCTATTCTGTAATATATACGTATAGGTAATAATACTATGATATCGTTTTCAGTTAAGACCCCGGGCTACCATAGCTCGGATGACTCGCGATACAGATTTCTTCAGAGGCATTTCTGAAGATAAATTATTATTATTGCACCCACACACACACACACACACACACACACAAACACTTATATATATATATGGAAAAATCCATAACATAAATAGTTACCAAGCGAACGTACAACGACATAAACGATAAACGAACTGCTACACCGCACCACAACAATATAATATTATAATTTGCGACGTACATATATATTAAATATTGCAATAAAACTATATACAAGTAGACGGCAACGCAATAGAATATTGAAATATACGGCACCTATAATAGGATGAGATTGTTAAAAAAAAAACGCGGTTAATGTACGTAGAGATCATCGTAGCCGGCGAATGAAGAAGACGGTGAAAATCACTCGATTTTTTCACTCGAGATCGTTTCCTAGAAGACTTCACGCCCGGCGAAAGCGACAACGCGGCTCTATACATCGTATACTAATTGCATTGTCTATATTATTTTTAAATAATATAATATATTTAGGTGGTGACGAAAATAGTAACCTGCAGGTGTATAGTCGGGCTCGGATTTATTCTTCCGCCGACTGATCAATTCATCACAGTGTTTATGTTTTGATTATAATCCTCATGAGTTTTTTTTTTTACGCGCGGCGTTCGTTATACGTCATGTGCCGAACAACCGCGAGCCGTTATACCGAGAAAATATGTTCGCTCACTTAATTTCCCCCTGGCTAATACCGTTTTGTTTCAGACGGATTTTTTGCAAGGCATTAATCTAAAATACAAAACAAAACAAAAAATGCAGAATATAAAACGGCCAGCCTTACAGGATACATATTATATCGATATGTATGCAGTGTTTAAGTTATCCGACACGCGGGACTGGTTTTAAACACAAGACAACGCACATTATAATATACTATATATTATATAGGACATAGGTATTACAATTTGTATTATCCATATTATATACACACCACACACATACACACAACAAACAATTATAATAAATCGAAGTGTTTCTCTCGGATAAAACATATTACATTATATAGGTACATAGATATAGGTTCGATTTTTTTTCAAACCGTAATCCGTCGACGATGTCATAATAATAATGATAGGCTTCAAAACGTCACGCGTAACGTTGTTTAATTGCCCGCGTACGTATTATTATTATTTTATAATCATATCATTACAGCGATGGCGAATACGCGCGTTATAAGACATACTCGTATTAAAATATGTACACAGGTACAGGCGTAATATATTATGTGAAAATAAAACGAAATGAATATTCATTATCAATTATTATTATATTTACTCGTCTCTTCCCGATAACGGGAGTCGTGTTTCACTGCTGCGCTCGAGGTGTGCATAATAAAATATAATATAAAAGTAGATACATCAAGATTGAGGAGGGTGACATTTTTGCGGGGGGTATTCGTTAGACTTTATCGCCGTTAATAATATCTATTTATATCTCATTCTCGCATGAGTACCTGCCTACAAATCATTCGCTGTCGACTGTCGAGGTATTGTTATTGCGGAAAGCAGTCGTGGTGATAATATCGACATCAATTAACCTTTAATTATACATAAAAGTCACTTGTCGCGTTGTCGCCCATTTAACACGGCACCGAAATATCGCAGAAGCTGGATGTTTAGAGTGTTTAAGCCCTATACATAAACAACGTGCGCATTATAATCATACATTTCAATAATATTATAGATTTTAAACATGATAATATGCCTATTGTTCAGTGGTTGATGTAAGGGTCAATATTGCCACTGAAAAGTTCAAACTGTTTCTCTAACCGTTGGCCATTTTTTTTTTTTTGCTTCATCTGCATTTAAATTATACAATTATCGTTTGTAACTGCATATAATCAAAACTAGTGTCTATTATATTGGATAGTGGGTAGCAAAGAATTATGAAATAATATTATAGAAAATTAACTCAATATAACATAAACATTATTAAAGTGTATCTTTTAGAGTATTTTATACGGTTTTAAATGTGTATTCAACCTGTATAAAAAATATCGAAAAGTCAAATTTAACTCATAATTTTACCTTTGACAACATATTTTTATCTAATCATCTCATTCAATTTTAAATTTATAATTTATAAATCATCATGAAATTTGAACTGTAATAATTGAACAGTGTTTACCTATAGTAAATTGCTTTAAATAGTCCTCCAAAACTTAAAAAAAAAAACAACTTAAGGGGATAGGTTTATGGGTCTATTGTGCACCTACGTAACAGCGACAGACCTGAGGCACGTACGCCTTACCTTGATTTAATGTTTGTTTTCATCTCGATATTTGTCTCATACGCTGAAAAAAAAACCAGTTACCGGGTCACGTTAAAATAACTATAAACACAGTTTAAGGCCATCGTTGAATTTTACGTTTTTATACGTTCCTATAAATATAATATCTAATATAATTATTATTACACGTATGTAGGTAGATAGCATATAATATGCTTGTAACGACACGCCGACGTCATAATATACGATATTATACGATATTATGCGCGCACACATAAAGCAATAATTATTGACGACGATTAAAATACGTGGCTAGGTCTACCGTTATAGTCATAATACGATCTGCTACTCTGCTAAGGTTGTATAACCAAGCTAAATAATAAATATATAATAATATATCGACCACCTACCTATACGTAAATGGTAAAATATTATAAAATACTAAAAAATAATAACATAATGATAATACTGTGAGCTTGTACGACAAGTATAAGCATAAGTGCACTATATAGACGATGGCTTCAAAGGGACTATAAACTCTCATGTCTTGGTTTAAAAAAATAATGGGCCAGTAAACTATTTTAGTTGAACGGATCAAGAAAATATTCCCTTTTTTTTATTATTTAAGAAAATTTACAATTTATATAATAAGTAAATATGATGAGTACAATATTACAGGACATGAAAATATTCCTACAATTATTTTATAAGCCACTACAAGGTTAGTAATAAATCGAAATGTTTAACGATGCTTAAGTTGGGATGATATTAAATTTCCATTGATCACGACGTATTTAAATAAGACATTTTAGTTGCAATTATAATTAGTTAGATTTTTACTTCGAGTTTGATGACAAAAAAGTGACCAAAAATCACGTGGGTACCTTATTATGTAAGCCATATAATCTTTATTAGTGATCACAATTTGTTGTAAAGCTGTGCTAATAAGTTCTGCTATTTGCAAACGTTGTTTCGATCAATGCGACGGTAGAAAAATTACCGAACAACTGGTATATTATAAAATTGTTTCTTGGATTTAGAAATACCTACAAAGTATTTATAATTTATAGTTATGACAAATTAGTTTTTTAAATTAGTGTTGAAAAATATTCAAGGTTTAGTCTTTATAATTATAGAGTGAAAAAAGAGTATAGTCGGCCAGAAAAAGATGGATGATCTGTGTATCAATTTATCAGCCCTCGCCAGGAAAATAATAATAAACACTATTTTCGATCATATCGGAATGAAAAATGCATATTGTACATAATAATATTATTATATATAGGTAGGTCATACGATTATATAGAAAATAATCTAATGTGTGAAGACATAAGTCGTTACGATATCGCGATGCAAAATGACGGACGCGTCGAAGAGTAACTTTTTGACCGAAAAGATCAACAAAA